CCCAACCCCCTCTTTGGCTATAATTTCAGCTTCCAAAAATGATTCCATGTCCACTTAAATGAAGCCGTGTTTTCCTGGTGAGTAGAAGGAAGAAGCACGTGCAGTTTATGTACAAAAAGAGGCAAAACGAGCATAAGAAATCTGAAGGTAATTTGCCTCTTTGAGATACATGATTTGTGCGATTCTCTCTTACCAAGAAAATATAAGTTTTAAGAGCACACTGATGAGAGTACTCGGTTAAATGATGGTCTAGCCATATCAAACGAAAGTAAAATAGAAAATTTGAACCAACTTTTACCAAAGCACAAGACCCAAAACTTCACTTATCACTTAAATTTACGCCAATCCATGGGCAAAAAAGAGGAGCTGCATGGGAAAAAAGGTTTGCTAGGAAAAATTTGGGCGGGGATGGGGTGAGGAATAAGTTAAACGTTATTTTCCTCTCCAAGGATCTCACTTCAAATAATATAAAGAATTCACAAAATCACATCCCACTGTATGTGTGTGTTTGNCATTAATCAACAACAAAGACAGTTAACTGCAACTAACAATTTGAAGCGAGAAAAATAACCTGGGCTACAAGCTAGGGAGGGCAAGGCTAAAAGCAAACACCCTCAGCTTTCTTCCTAAGCAATTTCCAGTTGGAAAAAAAAGATTTAGATGGAGATGCTAGCATTTCAAGTGGTTTTGGATTAGATTTAAATCAATACAATGATTTTACATTTACGAGTAATTGGAAAGGAGATGAGTTACACGAAAATCACAGAAATGTTTACGAGAAGTAAGATAATTTGGAAATTAATCAAAGGAATTTGGAAGGGACCTTTACTTTTACTTTCTTCATTTTATCAATGTTCTCTTTCCCCATTTCTACTCTACTTCAACTCCTTCCCATCCCAGGTACTTTACACACAAATGGCATGAATATTTATTTCCTTTAATAAGTAGAGTTAATCGAGAAGAAAAACTCACATAAGATGAATACCGCACATTTAAGGGCAAAATAATGAAACTTGAATCAATTGATGCACCCATTCACCATTTAACTTCAGCCAAAGGTTTTATGTCGTGATTTCTTTTTGAAATACTCCTGGAAGGAATGATGTAAGAAGAATTTCTTTTTCCTTGCAAATATAATAATGTGTGTTTGTGTAGACAGTATGTCTAACTATTACATAATGTTAGTGAATGAGACTGACAATGAGTGTCTGGCCATGTAAACAACAACAACAATTACTACTATACCTCAATCCCGAACAAGTTAGAGTCGCCAATATGAATCCTCACTTATTTCATTAAGCTACACTTATATCATCATCATTACCAAAATAAATAGAAGTGAACGAAAATAAGATATCTATCTATATATATAATGAGAGTGATAATAATATTGATAGTTCTCTACCAAGTCTAAAACCTATTCTCAACTAGTGGATATCACCTAGTTGAGGCCATGTAAATGTGAGGCAGAAAAGCTTTTCTTTCCTGGATCTCAATGAACCAAAAGACTATGCTGGCCACAAAAACCTAACACACAAAAGAGAATCCGTTTACTAGGATTAACATGAGTAGTTCACAATCGTCAAACTTTCTGCTGATCAAGCCCTAAATAAGACCCTTGAGTTGTATGACTGTCCAAACAGTGTATCCTAAAGTCATTGTACTACAGATTTTGTAAGTTCCGGAAGCTTGAAATTTCCTAACTTTATCTAAGCTATAAGCAACAGAAAATGGAAAGATTAGGAGGTAGGTGTTTAAACAGTACCTATCTCGGAAGAGGGTCTCCTGACAACACAGTGGGGGTATGCATCTCCGTACTTTGCTTCATCTTGAGCTCCTCTTCATATTTCTTCAATCTCTCATTCCACATTTCCTATAATCATAAATTACAGTGATTTAGACAGATAATTGCGCTTATGCTTAAAAATAATTTAAGTATTGAACATATAAAACGAAGATCAGAAAACCTTGTACTTGAGTTCAGCACGATGCATAGCATAGAATCCAAGTATGCCTCCGAGAATGGTTCCTGTTATTATTCGAACATAACCCCATCTCGGCGATATCATCGGTGTCGTCATTGATTCTAGTCTCCTTCTCTTCCCTTTGTTCCGCGAATCCTAAATCTGAGATTGATGCAGCCAGGTGATGCATTCAAAAATACAAGTAGTACTAACTGTGATGCATTCAAAAATATAGCTGAAAATAGAACATCCACAAAATGCAGCTCCATAGAACATTCTCAGTTTTTAGCTTTTACTAATCTAGTGGAATGGGTCAATGGAGCACCTATCAAATTAGCCAAAAATGCAGTAGGGGAAAATATACCAACTGTTTCTTCTAACGATCAGTAAATATGGCCATAATAGGTCAATATTTACGAACCTGTACAGGTAGCAGAGACGACGGGAAAGTATTTGTCGTAATTAGACCAAAGACGTTAGTACAATTTAGGATCCTTGCAACTTTACCTCCAATAAAGAAAACGATTCGGAATGGTTACAACTTAGAAGTGGAAATATTTCTGAAACACAAAAGCAAGGTTTTCTCCGATCTCTGACAATGGAACTGCTAATCCGTCTGTGGGCGGAAGTAGGAATGGCAGGCGGGGCGGGGCGGGGTTCTGTCTGAACCCGCAAAATTT